TCCCGGAGCTCTATAAACACAGTACAGACCAACAACTTGGACACACCTTCTCATTCAATGTGTTTTCTTTATTTTCACACACGTGACCGTTAACAAAGGGGCCAACAAGTGCTGAACAACTCTGGGAACTCCTTCAAGACTGTTTAAGGTGACCACCTCTAGAAGCTCATTAAGAGAATGCCAAAGTAGAATATAAAACATGTTTTCAATTTTTTCACCTTTCACAACCTTACACAACTCCACATGTGTTCAGTCATGTATGCATATATATATATATATACATATATATGTATATATATATATATATACATATATATATATATACATATATATGTATATATATATATATATATATATGTATATATATATATATATATACATATATATATATATATATTTATATACATACACACACACACACATACACACACACACACACACACACATACATGCATACATAAATATATATATACCGTAAATCCTCTAATACAGGCCTGTATTTAATTAACTGCCGGGTATCATATTTTGGCCGGTGTCGGAGTCGGCGAAGGTGAATAATGGCCGTTTTTTTATTGTGGCCGGGTGGAATGTGGTAACAAGCAAGTACGGGGGGGCGGTTGTGTCATCGTCTCACTTTTGATTTGCCAGTGATAGACCGCGAGGGTAACTTTAACCGTGCGGAGACGAAGAGGAGGCGAAAATTTGATATCAAGTTCAAAGAGAACGTGCTGATTATGCTGCAGAACACTGGGGAGCAGTAGCAGGGGTTGTATGAACTAGTCACTAGTCGACTTCACCGCTCTATAGTGACTTTTTATGCCTGTCATCGACTAGTCGCTGTCACGTGATAATGACCGGCAAGATGCAGCCCTCGGAAAAGACAGCAGCCTGATGTCAGCAGGTGACAAGCTCCTGCACGTCGGGAGGCAACGCGCTGTGCCAGAGCGTCGGTACTGACACGCGATCGTTCATGTCGGCTCATTTCCTTTAATGTTTTCTGTCTTTTATTTGCGCCTGATGTGTTTCCAAACACAGTAAAAATATATTTTAAAAGTCTTTTATTTATTGTGGAGTTACCAGGTGGGCGAGGCTGGAGACAGAGTAGGAGAGGAGGCGAGGGTCAAAGCCAGATAGATCCGTGAATGCTACAATGAGCAGGCAGGAGGCAGAATCCAGAGAATGGGCTGAGGTCGAGAATCCAGGTAGAGGCAGAGAAAACAATCCAGGCAGGGAGCAGGCACTTGTGTTGGTCAAGGATCAGAAACGAGGTCAGGATCTATGGTACAGGCAGCGGGTGGAGTGCTGGAGAATGTACTGGCGCGAAGTCTTCAATAATCTGGCAGAGACTGGATAGGTGGATGGTTGTTTCTACAGCGCTTTGTGATGTATATCTGTGAAAGGCGCTATATAAATAAACTTTTACTTACTTTTTACTTACTTACTTCTTTTATAGCAGGGGGAGCAGGTGTGTGAGATGAGCTGAGGAGTCAGGAGCAGGTGAAGTGGATGAAGCTGATTACAGGAACAGGTGAGATGAATGGAGTTGATGGTGGTTGCCAGGGAAACAGGGCTTGTCAGGAGCTTGGTGAGGGGACCAGGTGAGCTGAACGAAGGCTGAAAAACGAGAGTCATGACAGAACCTCTCTAATCCTTATTCAAAGTATTCTGTTGCTTCATCCTTCATAGGAGGGGTGGGGCTGGGAATTCACCAGTGACCTAAACGCAAGCTGGATGTCGGCAAACAGCTCAAATATAGCAAGACCCGGAGGAGCAGAAGGAGTTCAAAAGTGAGACACTAATTTGGGAAACAACCCAAATACTGAGCACGCCTGGCTTAAAGTGCAGAGCATCTGTTGCACATTTACCCCCAAAAGGCTGGGAGAGAAGCAGCTCTAGAGTCCCGGTGCTGCTTTTGGGGCGATTTAATTACAAAGGACTTCTGAAGAGAACCGTTTCATCGCCCCAACACGGCAGAGCCCGATTCCACCCAAACCACACTCGCACTATATTTAAGAGCTAACGTAGGGCTGAGGCGAGGCAACGGGACCAGGAAGATGGGGCAAGTCTCTGCCATGGCTGCCAACAGCTGATGAAAGCAGTCCAAGAGGAAGAAGAAAAAAACACCTCCCAGAAGACACCAGTCCACCAACCGGATGGATGACAGACTGGGAACGAGCTTTTATCTTAATTACAGGTTAGGAGCTCCGACATTAGCTCGCATGTTGCTGCTCTAGTCATCACAAGTCTGACAGCTCCTACCCAGTTGGTGTTCCCCAGGAATCCGTGTGTGTGTGTGTGTGTGTGTGTGTGTGTGTGTGTGTGTGTGTGTGTGTGTGTGTGTGTGTGTGTGTGTGTGTGTGTGTTAGGGGACCTACAGCCTGAGGGGCTGACATGGTCGAGGCCAGACCAGCCATTGTGTGACATGTTTAACCTAAACTGTGACAGAGTTGATTGATCTTTAGGATTTGGACACACTCCTGGGGGGGGGGGGGGGGGGGGGGGGGGGTGTCAGAGGTCAGCACTATGAAGACATGGTCCTCCAGTTGCAGCTGACACCGCGTGTTGCCGAATGGTCTGACGTTCAGAAATAAACCTATAAGATAACATGAACTATCTTACTGCAACATGACTTTTGTTTTGAAATAAACGTACCTGAAACACCTCTCACTTCCTGTCTGCCTCGTGTCATTTCGCCACATGTGGCACCAAAAAGAAAAAGACTCCATGAAACTTTCTGGAGCTCTGCATCTGGATCCGAACCACGCCGCGTCCGGTGCGAATGCTCTGGTGTGACTCGGGAGGTTGATCTCTGCGGAAGCCGTACGGAAACAGGACCGCATCCATTCTGCACTCGGTGTGAAACTGGCTTAAGCTCTAACCCCCTTCCTTCAAAATAAAAGACCATAAAAACAACATTATCTTGTGTTTTTGACCCGTTGATGACTTCTTTTCTGCCACAATTCCTAACATAACCCACCTACACAGCTGCAGGGCCGGATTAAGACTTTGTTGTACCCTGGGCAACAATATTCAAGGGCCCCATCATCACGACCCGAGGATCACCATAATATGGTCACATACAGAATATTTTACTGTAATATGCAGTAAATATACTCAATACTTGAATACCTGACATCACGTAACCTGCTCAGGGTAACCTTTGACCCACCTCGTGTGGACTGACCAATGAGGAGAGGGTCCTAACTTGAGGCCCTCTCTTCATTGGTCAGTCTGCATGAGACTGACTCTTAACTGACGTTCATAGTCTATGGCAGCGAAGCGTCTCTGTGCAGCGCAAAAGCCCGGGAGGACAGTTTGTTGAATATAGGGCGACAGGTCCTGGAAGCAGCAGGTGTGCGTCTCATCCTCATGACGTCACTGCTGAGTGACCTCCTGTGACCTGGTGAGAACTCACCGCTGTCTGATTCACACTGGTCTGTTTCTTTTAACTCCGCTTACGTTTTTTGTTGTTTTCATCCCAGCTGTTGTCCAGCCGGTGAGTTGCTGCCAGCCACGCCGACGCTCTGGAGGAGCGGGGTAGAGCGGTGCCGGGCTTTGGATGGACAGAGTCAGAGAGGAAGACCAGGAGGAACCCAGGGCTTCGCTCTCAGCATGCCGCATCATCCGAGTGAAGCCATTAACCTGGGGCCAGTGGCTGTTCAGGAGCTCTGGGTGTTACATTTTAGTGGCAGATGAGAAGAAATTAGCAGCTGGAATCTGAAGGTAACCAGTCATTCTCAGCATTTCCTCTCTGAGCCTCAACAAGCCCGTCAGAGCTCCTCCCTCAGGCTGTTCCAGGGTCTGACGGTCCTCAGCAACATCGTTCATGAAGACGCTAAACTAAACGATTCAGGTTAGGCAGCTCCAGCGCCACAACACCGCCTTACCTGCCAGGCCACATCTGTCCGTCCGGGTCCGAAGTTCTGGTGTGAGAGGTTTGAGATGAACCACTCTAAACTCACTGCCGTTCACCCACTCATCGTGAAGCTGGATCCTGCAGCTCTCCTCCAGGTTCTTCTGTTTTTTAGATCAGGTGAGTAAAGTCCAGATTCTCGTCAGCGCCGATCTTAAAGCATTTCCACCAGCAGTAAATATTTGAGACGTTTAAAGGACGGGACGGTGGGACGCCCTAACATCACGTCACCACATCTGGAGCAGCAGGAGACAACACGGAGCTGCTCAGGTCCACAGGCTGGGGCCTTCCTCAGACCCCTCAGAGATGGTGTAGAAAGGTCTGGAGCAGGAAGTGCTACCTTTCCTCTGAGCGCCAGGCCCCCTCTGTGTTACTGCGGGGGGGGGGGGGGGGGGGGGGGGGGGTTATACGTTTAAAACCAGCCTGAGATTCCCTGCACTGTAACTGCCTTCTGTAATCTAGTACATGTGTAACTGTAACTTTTCGGCCTCGTGGCCAGGACTCCCTTGCAAACGAGGATTTTAATCTCAACGGGACCTTCCTGGTTACATAACGAATAAATAAATCGGCCCAACGACAGCAGACTACCCCCCCCCCCCCCCCCGAAGAAGAAACAATATTTTACGTGTCACTTCGCAAAAAAAAAAAAAAAGAAATTACTGAAAAATCTTTTAAAAAGTCATAAAAATTAGAAAAGGAACAAGTTCTGATAAAAATGTGAAGAAAGAAAGGCGAGTGAATCCCGGGAAACGCTGCGGAAAGAGCAACATGAGGAGGTGATGAAGAATCACTGAGGTCACTCAGATCCCACCTCATGACCCCCCAGCACACCACCACCACCTATGACATCACGACTCAGTGGCACGTTCCTCTGGACTCCACAGGCTGACCTGAGGTCAGCTTTGACACGAGCACTCACAAATAAACACACCCCTTACTTTAGGCCCTCCCTCAAAAGACACGCCCCCACACGTGACTGTGCAGCCCCCCCCCCCCCCCCCCCCCCCCAAGTTTGTCCTGCATCACATCACCCCCCCCCCCCCCACACACACACACACACACACACACACACACGAGAGAGAGAGAGTACTGAATCTGAAAGTGTATTTGGTTGATGTTTTAAACAAGTGCATACATGTACAGCTAGAAGCATACGTTCACGTCTTTATTGGACCAAGTGCTCCAATTAGTAGAGGTGGGCGATAAAATGGCCGTTAGGACGATCACCGACGTCATCAGCGACGCGTCCGTGTTACGAAGCGGATGGACTGGAGCCAAATCCAAAATGCTGCGTTTTTAGGAACAAGCTTCTTGTCGACCAGACCTACCTCTGCTGCTGGCCGCTATCCGCCGCCACGGGCGGCAAGTGGCCAGTGGGGCCGGCGGCAGCAACAGGAGGCGAGCACATCCACCACCTTTACAGAGAACCTGGCCACCTGACAACAGCTGTTCATCACATCCACCTCCAGAACATCAGAACACCTTACACAGGTGAAACAGGAACGAGGAGAATCTGGTGCAAAAGTCCATTAATGTCAGTAATTCAGCTCAAACTGAGAGACCACCTAAAGCCTCGGGAACCCTTCAGGTGTTCTGATCCATCAGCTGATCAGTGCCACACTGAGTCTAGATTGTTGAACCTTTTCATGGTATTCTGATTGTCTGAATGTGGGGTTTTGATCAGCTGCAATCCACAATATCTATACATCCATAACACTAGAACATCCGCTGCATGGAACAAGTCCGTCTCGTACATCAGTTCCACCTCTAGAGCTGAATTATCGACCTAAACGTCACCTGCACCCTTTGTGTTTGAAGGGAACTTGTACTTTTCTACTTCTGTTGCGCTTATGCTTTATTTAATTTACCTTCTTAACTACAAGTACTTAGTACTGAGTATTAGTTTCATAAAAGAGGAATTAAACACAGGTGGATCGGATGTTCTGGGGGAATTAGACGTCACTAAAACTGGCTGTGGATGCAGCCACAGCCCCATTTAGTGGACGAACCGTTGTCTTCACGCGTGCGGACGGTTATCGTAATCGAGGTGAACTTCGCTGAGGTGAATATGTTGACAGTGATTTGGGGCCGTAACGCCCAGCCCTACTAACTAGTCACATGCTACTGGCCAGGACTGTCTCCAGACCTCACAGACATTAGATGTGATGGTGAAGAGTACACACCCGTCCTTCTCCAAAATGCAGAAACACAAAGTATGGAAAAAAAAAATGCATGTTTACAAATTATACACCTCCCTAGTGAATAGTCCGAACATCCACTGGGTCACGACGGACGTCCCTCTGTGCCTCAGATGGTTAAATATATAGAAATGCTTAAAGTCCAAGAAAAGACTAAAAGATCTGGATGGACTTATGGGTCCCTCTCCTTTTTTACCTTAATGTCCCCAGCCAAGATGGTGGCTATTTCCCCTTGCATGAATGCCCAGGGCACGTTGGAGCCGACCAGAGGACAGCGCGCCCCACTGGGGCAGTACACCTCACCGGTGGCGACCTGCTGCTTGATGCTCTCCCGGGAGCAGGGAAAGCAGAACTTGTGTGACAGCACCGATGGACACTGGACAAAGTGAGTGTCCTCCAACCGCTCGTGACAAAGAGTGCAGCACAGCGGCACGCTGCCCAGAGGTACCGAAGAGTCCGGGAGGCTCTGTGATGATGGCACGTGGGGGTCAATGCTGCCAGGAGCGGGTGGAGTAGACAGGCTGGTGCTTCCAGAGCCCTCCCTCTGGGCCAGTCTCCTCTGGGAGGCTGGAGAGGGAGACAAAGGGCTGCCACTGTTCCTTCGAGCACCTGCCGTGGTGGAGTGCACCTGGCTGCCATCCTTAGGGGAGCCCGTGCTTCCTGCATTGTCGGTGGCATGGATGAGCGCCGCCATGGGCGACTGGCCGTTCTGGGCCATGGCGGCTTCAGGCAGGGTGGTGTGAGCGTGGGGAGACGTGGTGGAAGAGGGAGCACCCGAGAAGCCTGGCAGGGAGGATGGTGTAATCTTCAGGACCTCTGCGGAGAGCCACGGCTGACCTTCACAGTTCATCTTGGGAGCACCGGCGTCACCGTCGGGTTCGGGGGAGGCTTTCCTTTTCACAGGGCGGGCGTGCCTCCCCCGATCTGTAAGGAGGAAGAGGAGAGGGCCGGTTAACAACTGCAGCATGTGCTGGTCCCAGGAGTACCGAACAGGAAGTGTTATACCACGTGGTGCTCTGAAGAAGCACGTGTGTGTGTTGATATTCTCTGCAGGCCGAGTCCAGAACCCTGCAGCAGGACTGGTTCGGGTCTGACCTTTGACCTCTCACCTGTTTTGGAGGAGCTGGCGCTCGCCTCATACGCCAGCACGCGCTGCATGCTGGTCTGGTCCTTCTTGAACCTGCTGTCGAACGTGTGCAGCGCCATCAGGTCCCGGACCGTCTTGCCTTTACCGATCCAGTCCTTGTGGCTGTCTGCCATGTCCGACAGGCTGTCCGGCCTGAGTTTATCTTTCAGTTCATCAAAACGTTTCCCGTGATGTTCCACGGGCCCGGCCAGCCCGGAGCGGCCGTTGAGCGGATGAGCGGCCGACATGCTGCCGCTGACCAAAGGCACCAGGTTAGGAGGAAGCGTGCTAGTCCGGCGGTGGTTGGGGCTTTGGCGGTTTAGTTCCGGGGGCTCGTCGGGTTTGGGGAATCCATTCGGTAAGGGCAGCCCGTTCGCCTGTCGACCCGTCTGGTATTCCAATCCCAACCGGGGTGGCCGCTCCGACGGCGGGTAGCGGTCCAGATGCTGCGGCGGGCGAGAGCTAAGGTCTCCTACCGAATGGCTGAGCTCCTTCCCGGCGTGGTGGGGCTTTCCCGGGCCTGCAGAGCGGCCCTCCTGGAAATCGTGTGCCCTTTTGAGCTGACGAGCGGTCTCGATGACAAACTCAATCCGATCGGCACCCTCGTAGTTGACACATCCACGACACACGGGCTCGGTGAAATCCCAGATCATGGCCCACGGCATCCGAGGTAAATCACACAGATAACAGGACTGCCTTCTGGAGGCAGCGACGGCCGCGGACGACATGTTGGAGCCCCGAAGCGAACACACACGATCCAAAATGTCCGTCCGCTTGTTTACGCGGTCGGAGCAACAGAAATCTCCAGAAACTAGTCGGATCCCCTTTTCTCAAACAGAGTAGCGGAAACAGGAAAACATTAGCAGAGCCCGTTGCATCGGCGCGTGCCTCCGTCGGTGCTCGCGCTTACAACTCAGCTCGACTCGAGTTCTCAATGTGACGTCAGCGTCGACACTTGGCTCGAGCTGCGACGTGTTTACTGGATTCTTCCCGATGCCTCGAGCGCACGCGCAGCACTGTGCTGCTCTATAGGGTTTACACCCAAAGATCGTGTGGATTAGGAAGAGGCATCACTACGGGGAGGACAGTGGCTAACTCTAGAGCCGTTGTAGGCAGACTGGAAACCGATCCACACGCACGCACGCACGCACACACATCCACACACACACACGCACACACATCCACACACATGCTCGCACACACATCCACACACACACATGCACACACATCCACACACAAGCACGCACACACATCCATGCACACACATCCACATGCACGCACACACATGCACACACACGCACGCACACACATCCACATGCATGCACACACACGCACGCACGCACATCCACACACACACATGCACACACATCCACATGCATGCACACACACGCACGCACATCCACACACACACATGCACACACATCTACATGCATGCACACACATCCACATGCACTCACACACATCCACACACACACACATGCACATACATCCACACACATGCACACACACGCACGCACATCCACACACACACATGCACACACATCTACATGCATGCACACACATCCACACGCACGCACACACATCCACACACGCATGCAAACACATCCACACGCACACACATCCATACACACGCACGCACACACATCCATACACACGCACGCACACAGATCCATACACACGCATGCACACACACATCCACACACACGCATGCACATACATCCACATGCATGCACACACGCACGCACGCACATCCACACGCACGCACACACATCCACACACGCGCGCACGCACACACATCCATACACACGCAAATCCACACACACACATGCACACACATCCACATGCACGCACACACATCCACACACGTCCACATGCACGCACACACGTCCACATGCACGCAACGCACACACATCCACACACATGCACGCACACACATCCACATACACACGCACGCACACACACACGCACACACATGCACGCACATACACACATGTGCACATGCACACACACACATACCATATGCACACACGTGCACACATTCACACACACACACGCATTTGTACGCAAACACATCCACACGCACACATGCACGCACGCACACACACACACACACACACACACACACACACACACAGCTCTTCCTCCGTCACTCTTCCTTAAAGCCAGTTGCTCTCAGCCAAACATTCTGTCGTCATGGTAGCGGAGTGGAAAAGAGAGAGTAGCGGAACATTAGTGTGTGCCAAGCGTCATGACTCACTCTCAGAGTCGGATGTACCACATCTGCAGCGATGCTGGCGACTCCCCCGATGCTGTGTGAAGTTTGGGTTTAAACACAGAGCAGTGCTGTTTAGAGTCTGGCCTCTACTTCTAAATAAACCCGACTGGGACAGAAACAAAGGGACAACCATCCAATGGAAAGGCTTCGGTATGTCCGTGGTGAAAAATAACAAATATGAAATGTTTTAAAAGTGATAAAAGCAGATGGGAGCAGATCTGTGTCTGGGTATCAGCCACCATGGCTAAAATGTCAGCAGAATATCTCCAGACCACAGACTGATCACGAGTCCAACAACGACCGCACACATTTCTAGAGCTTAAATGCAGTTATGATCCGTAAAAGAAGATCTGCAGAGAAACATAGTTGTTCCTTTAGTCTTTTCACAAACGCTGACAGGATCCGTGAAAGCGAATGCCTGCTGAACTCATCAGCAGAAAGTCCTTTAGCTCTCACATCATTACCCATTCCATCCCAGCTTTAGAAGCTGCCTTGAACCAGAGCTTCTCAATTTAGGTGCAGAGCACTGCACCGCCAGAAATAACATCAGCACCACAAAGCAAAGCTCAGCCATAACGTAACTGAGGCCCCTGAAGCAGGAGGCTGCATGTAGTTAGCGCTTCTTCTTCCCAGCGGGCCAAAACCAAACCACAGATTTAGACGTTTGCTGGGGTACTGACATCAAAGATCGAGCTTGCCATAACTTGAAAGCCAGCGAGAGCTGGATGAGTTGCAGATGGTGAAATCATGAAGGGAGTTTCTCCTGGAATGTGTGCAGAGTGAATGAACATCTCTAAAGACAGAGCAGTGGGATCTGGCACTACTGTCAGACATATCTCATCGCTGAAGGCATCAGCTGACCTACAGAGGTCTGGTTTCAGATCCAGAGCTGTATCAGTCCAGGCTGCCTTTCTGGTTAAAGAGCTAGTCACCCCCAAATCACATTTTTTTTGCTGATAAACTATATAAAGGAGTGTCTAACCATGCTACAGACACGTGTAGACAGTAATTTGGCAGCTCAGTGCATCTTGGTTAAAATTCAAATATTCTGCCTACAACTGTCGGTGTTGCGCCGTCGTCAGGGAAAATTCTGCACTGTATCTGAATTTAAATCTGCCACCGCTATTGGCTAAGAGGTATGCTATGATGTCATCTGGTACATTATGATGTCACAATGCCATTGTGAGCCTGTGTGTGTATTTGTTAGCGGCTCCGCCCTCTCGCTCTGCCAAGCAACAGCATTTGTTGCATTTTTCAAACATGAAGTGGGAGTGAGGTAAGTTTCTTGTAGGGGGTGACTTGCTCTTTAACAAGGCTTGATCTTCGTAACTCGACATCTCTGTCTATGGTTTACTCGGTACAGGCAGGTAAAGTCAGTGGGATGGAGCCTACGTAGCTCCTGGAATATAGTTGAAAATGAGGAAAGGCGTGTTGGGAAAAGATTTAGCAGAGAAGTAACCGGTTGAAAATGTCTACAAATGCACATCCCAGTGCTCTCTCCTCTTCTGAAAATGAACGAAACGATACGCCGACCAGGAGCCTGGTCTCCACACTCTGAACACGACACTCCCACATCAGTCTGAGCTGGTTCCTGATGGATCCCCAGCTGTGTCCCCAGTGACCTGGTCCTTCTACTTGTCTACCTGCTATTGAAGGAAGGAGCGTAAGCCCACACTGCTGTTCCCTTTCACATTCAGCGTGGCTGAGACTCGACACCATGTGAAGCAGTGACTGGACTTCTCTCAGAGGGATATTGTTGCTGCGGGGAAAAAAACCTTCAAGCATGAGGAGCACAGTGGGAGGAAGCGTGGGACAGTGCTGTCAGAGACCTGATCACCGGTCTCGTAGGAACACCGAGGAGTTTGCAGGGAAAGAGAGAGAGAGCTCTGCATAAGAGGAGGAAAAAAATAGGAAACTTGCGTGAGCCTAAGGCTCCTCCCACTCCGGTTGATTCACGGGTCCCTGAACGGGACACACATGCTGCACTTCAGTTTAAATGCTAAATAATTATGTGTGAGTTTCGACTATGTCTGCCATGAACTTTGAGATTTATTAGCTTGTAGAAATTGGTAATTAAAAAGACTACAAATCAGACGTGGCACATATGACATCACAGCAGGATCTCCTCTCCCTCAGCATAGCTGCTACTTACAACCAAACCAGATTCATGGTGGTTTTTTCCATGTTTAAAGCTCCTTTCATCCTGGAAGAAGGATGTGAAGCTCAATAAACTCACAGACATTCTCTTCTCTTCGTCTCTGATTTGATGACGTCAGTTTGGTGAGACGGACATTTGTAGTCCTCTACGGCTTTTCACACACAACATAAAGTAACTTTTTGCTGCTTGTTGAAAAAAAGCACTCTTTTCTTTAACATTCACGGAAAACATAAACGAACTCCTCGGCACATGACAAACACATTTATCCACTCATAGCCTCCTATTGTTTTGTTGGTAAATCGACCCATGGTCTGGAAGTGAATGACTCAGGCTCCCTGTTGTGTTGCTGTGCCGCCTTGTTCATGATAAACTTTATTATTTTGTTTCATGACCCAAGAAAACTCCTCCTTGAACCGTCACCTTATCGTGGTGGAGGAGTTTGAGTGCCCTAATGATCCTAGGAGCTATGTTGTCTGGGGCACTTAGTGCCCCTGGTAGGGTCTCCCATGACAAATTGGTCTTAGGTGAAGGGTGAGACAAAGAACGGTTCGAAGGATCTTTCATGGCGGTTAAAACGAAGAGTCGGAGTACCCGGCCCGGAGGGTTACCGGGGTCCCACCCTGGAGCCAGGCCTGGGGTTGGGGCCCGTGAGCGAGCGCCTGGTGGCCGGGCTTTCGCCCATGGGGCCCGGCCGGGCCCAGCCCGAACCGGATACATGGGCTCGTCCAACTGTGGACCCACCACCCGCAGGAGGAACATGAAGGGTCCGGTGCAATGTGAATCGGGTGGCAGACCAAGGCGGGAGCCTTGGCGGTCCAATCCCCGGACAAGAAAACTAGTTTTTGGGACATGGAACGTCACCTCGCTGGCGGGGAAGGAGCCGGAGCTTGTGGCAGAGGTTGAGCGGTACCGGCTAGATATAGTCGGACTCACCTCGACACATTGCATTGGCTCTGGAACCCGAGACCTGGAGAGGGGTTGGACACTCTACTTTGCTGGAGTTGCTCCGGGTGAGAGGCGGAGGGCTGGGGTTGGCTTTTTGTTAGCCCAGAGACTCTCTGCCTGTGTGTTGGGGTTTACCCCGGGGGACAAGAGGGTAGCTTCCTTGCGCCTTCGGGTCGGGGAACGGGTCCTGACTGTTGTTTGTGCTTATGGGCCAAATATCAGTTCAGAGTACCCACCCTTTTTGGAGTCCCTGGGACGAGTGCTAGATAGTGCTCCATCAGGGGACTCCATTGTCCTGCTGGGGGACTTCAATGCTCACGTGGGCAATGACAGCTTGACCTGGAGGGGTGTGATTGGGAGGAACGGCCCACCTAATCTGAACTCGAGCGGTGTTTTGTTATTGGACTTGTGTGCAAGCCGCAGTTTGGCCATAACGAACACCATGTTCGAACATAAGGATGCCCACCGGTACACTTGGTACCAGGGCAGCCTAGGTCACAGGTCGATGATAGATTTTGTAGTCGTATCATCTGACCTGCGGCCGTATGTTTTGGACACCCGAGTGAAGAGAGGAGCGGAGCTGTCAACTGATCACCACCTGGTGGTGAGTTGGATCAGATGACAGGGGAAGGTGCCGCGTAGACCTGGCAGACCCAAACGCATAGTGAGGGTCTGCTGGGAACGCCTGGCAGAAGAACCTGTCAAGATGGTCTTCAACTCCCACCTCCGGCAGAGCTTTGACCACGTCCCGAAAGCAGTGGGGGACATTGAGTCCGAGTGGGCCTTGATCCACTCTGCGATTGTCGAGGCGGCTGTTGCTAGCTGTGGTCGTAAGGTGGCCGGTGCCAGTCGTGGTGGCAACCCCCGTACCCGCTGGTGGTCACCAGAGGTTCGGGGAGCCGTCAAGCTGAAGAAGGAGGCCTACAGGGCGTGGCTGGTCAGTGGGTCTCCGGAGGCAGCAGACAGGTACCGGATAGCCAAGCGGGGTGCAGCAGTGGCAGTTGCCGAGGCAAAATCTCGGGCGTGGGAGGAGTTTGGTGAGGCCATGGAGAAAGACTATCGATCGGCTCCAAAGAGGTTCTGGCAAACTGTCCGGCGCCTCAGGAGAGGAAGGCAGCAACTCGCTCACACTGTTTTCAGTGGGGATGGGGAGCTGCTGACGTCAACTGAGGCTATAGTCGGACGGTGGAAGGAATACTTTGAGGAGCTCCTCAATCCCACCAATGCGCATTCCGAGGAGGAACCAGAGCTGGGAGGCCTGGGGATGGACTGTCCGATCTCGGGGGCAGAAGTTGCTGAGGTAGTCAAACAACTACACAGCGGCGGAGCCCCGGGGGCGGATGAGATTCGTCCTGGGTATCTCAAGGCTATGGATGTTGTAGGGCTGTCATGGTTGACACGTCTCTACAACATTGCGTGGTCATCGGGGGCAGTTCCTAGGGAGTGGCAGACCGGGGTGGTGGTCCCCATCTTTAAGAAGGGTGACCTGAGGGTGTGTTCCAACTATAGGGGGATCACACTCCTCAGCCTCCCTGGAAAGGTCTACTCTAAGGTACTGGAGAGGAGGGTCCGATCGATAGTTGAATCTCAGAGGAGGAGCAATGTGGTTTTCGTCCTGGCCGTGGAACTGTGGACCAGCTCTATACCCTTGCAAGGGTGATGGAGGGGGCATGGGAGTTTGCCCAACCAATCCACATGTGCTTTGTGGATTTGGAGAAGGCTTATGACCGTGTCCCCAGGGGCACCCTGTGGGGGACGCTCCAGGAGTATGGGGTGGGTGGCTTTCTGTTAAGGGCCATTCAGTCCCTTTACCAGAGGAGCGTGAGTTTGGTCCGCATAGCCGGTAGTAAGTCGGACCTGTTCCCAGTGAGGGTTGGACTCCGCCAGGGCTGCCCTTTGTCACCGGTTCTGTTCATCACTTTGAGGGACAGAATTTCTAGACGCAGCCGTGGTGTGGAGTGTGTCGAGTTTGGTGGCAGGAGAATCTCGTCTCTGCTTTTTGCGGATGATGTGGTCCTCCTAGCTTCATCCAGCTCTGACCTTCAGCTCTTGCTGGGTAGGTTCGCGGCCGAATGTGAAGCGGCTGGGATGAGGATCAGCACCTCCAAATCTGAGACCATGGTTCTCGACCGGAAAAGGGTGGCTTGCCACCTCCGGGTCGGGGGAGAGGTCCTACCTCAAGTGGAGGAGTTTAAGTATCTCGGGGTCTTGTTCACGAGTGAGGGTAGGAGGGATCGGGAGATCGACAGGCGGATTGGTTCGGCGTCTGCAGTGATGCGGACGCTGAGCGGATCTGTCGTGGGGAAAAGGGAGCTGAGCCAGAAAGCCAGGCTCTCGATTTACCGGTCGATCTACGTCCCAATCCTCACCTATGGTCATGAGCTTTGGGTAATGACCGAAAGAACGAGATCGCGGATACAAGCGGCCGAAATGAGTTTCCTCCGTAGGGTGGCCGGGCTCAGCCTTAGAGATAGGGTGAGGAGCTCGGACATTCGGGAGGGACTCGGAGTAGAACCGCTGCTCCTCCGGATCGAAAGGAGCCAGTTGAGGTGGTTTGGGCATCTGGTCAGGATGCCTCCTGGACGCCTCCCCGGGGAGGTGTTTCGGGCATGTCCTGCCGGCAGAAGGCCCCCGGGTCGACCCAGGACACGTTGGAGAGGTTACATCTCCAATCTGGTCCGGGAACGCCTTGGGGTCCTGCCGGAGGAGCTGGTGGACAAGGCCGGGGAGAGGACGGCCTGGAGCTCCCTAGTTGGGATGCTGCCCCCGCGACCCGGACCCGGATAAGCGGAGGAAGACGAGACGAGACGAGAGACGAGAGACCCAAGAAAAGTTGGCGGGAAGCCCGTTTACTTTTAGCTACAGTAGATGGGTTCCTTGGTTGGCTGCGCAGTGGCACAGTGGTTAGAGCTGTTGCCTTGCAGCAAGAAGGTCCTGGGTTCGATTCCTGGCCTGGGATCTTTCTGCATGTTCTCCCTGTGCATGCGTGGGTTCTCTCCGGGTACTCCGGCTTCCTCCCACTGTCCAAAAACATGACTGTTAGGTTAATTGGTCTGTCCAAATTGTCCTTAGGTGTGTGTGTGTGTGTGTGTGTGTGTGTGTGTGTGTGTGTGTGTGTGCATGGTTGTTTTTCCTGTGTGTCTCTGTGTTGCCCTGCGATGGACTGGCTCTCTGTCCAGGGTGTACCCCGCCTGATTGCCCGTTGACTGCTTCGTCGCCTTGCCCGACTAAAGCCCATTCTCAAGAGGCCCCACTTAGAATCAGTGATTCATGCATTTATGACTTCCAGACTCGATTTTTCCAAATCGGTTCTAGTTGGTGTAAATGTATCGGCCCTAAATCGTCTGCAGGAAGTCCAGAATGCTGCAGCCAGATTTCTCTCCAATGCAAATAAACGCTGCCACATCACTCCCATTCTGGCGGGTCTACACTGGATTCCTGTAAAATTTCGAATTCAACTCAAAGTTCTAACTTTTACTTACAAAGCCCTGAATGGTCTAGCCCCCTTATACCTCTCAGAGCTGCTTTTTTTATACGTTTGTATTGTTTTTAGGTGTTTCTATTTCATGACAGCTTTTATCTGTGTTTAATGTGTATGTATGTGTATTTTAAATGGCTTTTTAGGTTTAACTCTGTGCAGTGCTTTGGTCAGCTGACATGCTGTTTTTAAATGCGCTATATAAATAAAACTGGATTGGATTGGAGATAGGCACCCCCCCCCCCCCCCACGGCCCTGCGTTGACAAAGCGGGTTCAGAAAATGCATATATATGTGTGTGAGTGTGTGTGTGGATATGTATGTATATATATATATGTGTGTGTGTGTGAGTGTGTGTGTGGATATGTATGTATATATATATATGTGTGTGTGTGTGGATATGTATGTATGTATATATATATATATATATATATATACATATATATATATATATATATATATATATATATATATATGATGTGTGTGTGTGTATATGTATGTGTGCCATTTAAGAACAGTTCGGAGGGCTATGCCTGAGCGTGAACGCGCATGAAGCAGCCTGCTCGACCCGAGCATCTCTCTTTTTCTGTGATTTTACAGAAAAACAGGCAATCACAGTAAAAATGCCAGGGCTCATTCTACAGGACCAGGGCATTGCAGGAGAATGTATGAAGAAGACATTTATTATTTCTATACATGTTTTGGCTGTCACACTTCCATAATGCCCCTTTAAATACGTTAGAGACTGCTGTTTAGTGAGAATTTACATATATATATTTTTGCCAGCTTGAACTAGTTTGCTGTTGTTTAAAAAACAAGGAATGTGACCCTAAATTACAAATATTTTAAAGAATTTTAGTAATATTAAAACAATAGTTATTTCTTTTATTTAGCCACCCATAAACCATCCTTTAATAAGGAAGCAAAAGGATGAGAAGCATGTTAATAGCACAAATTCATTAAAAACCCTCATTATTCATTTGCACCTTTCCATAACAGGTCATGCAAATCTTGGCTGGCACGCTCTTTTCCGCACAACACCTGTTAAATTGCGCCCCAGTAAAAAAAGAAATCACCAGCAGCCACTGCTGCTGGTCTTCACGGGGAAAAGAAACAAAACAAACCATCGCAGGAGTGAGATTTCGTCTGCTCTTGTCTCAGCTAGTCCACGGGCCCTGCTCTAACTCCTGCCAACAAAGTGGCTGGTTGTGTGTGTGTGTGTGTGTGTGCGTGCGTGCGTGTGTGTGTGTGTGTGCGTGCGTGTGTGTGTGTGTGTGCGTGTGTGTGTGTGTGTTTCCCTGACCCCAGAGCCTTTACACTCACACTGAGGATGCTGTTGCTTGGAGTCACTTCGCCCCCTGCTGAGCTGCTAAGGAACTGCAGCTAAGGACATTTTTGGTTTTTCCTTGTGTGTGAAAACGTCCAAACATCTTACTAAGCCATACTGGAGCACAGAAGAGGATATGGCTCTTTATTGTCACTAATATTCTGTGTAAATATGAATTTCAACAACTAATGAATGAGTGATTTAGCTCGTATGCAACAGTTCAAACACCTGGCCACAGGTTGAGTAAAAACCATGAAGACTGTATGAGGAGATCCACTGTTTCCACACGGAGCTGAAGGGTTGTCAGACATCCCAGCAGGAACGAACGTTTCTTCTGCAACTCCACGGGATGAGATGGGATGCATCAGTAATGAAATCTTCAGATCGAGTTATGGCCGGACAGAAGGGGGAGTTCAGCTCAACAATCATCTCCTACTTGTTAAATTAAAATCCACAACGAAAACAAAAACATTCTAAACAACTTCATATCGATTTTATTGAAAATCAGAAACGCAGCTAATAATACTGCTGCTTTACAAATGTCGTAGATGTTCATTACTGTAGATTACATCTTTATATATATATGTGTGTGTGTATAGTGTAGTTTTAGTTGAAGCCTTAAAGGATTACCATATTTTAAATTTGTAGTATAAAAGTTTTCAACTTTTAGATAACAGTTTTAGCTTTTATATCATAAAAATGACTTGAGTTATTATTGAATCTGTAACTGAAAAACCAGAAAACAAAATCATTAACACTCAAATTCACTCCTAAATGCTCCGATAAAAAGCCGCGATGTGCTGGTTCAGCGCTATGTTGCTTCCAGTCCAGCCTGACTGGGGTTAATGTTTGGAGGGGGGGTGGATACCGTGAACAAAGTCCAATAATTCTGTTATTTATTATGTTGTGGCTACACGAAACAGGACTGGCCTTTTAAAGAGAACCCAAACGTTAGCTGTCTTTTTATTGCTCCTTTCATTTACGTCTCTTTCTGCTTTTTAAAAAGTCCGCTAGCCCAAAAATATCCTAGTTTCATCTGATAAAATGTCACCATGCACAGACAGTCATGCTTTAATATTGCAAACGTTTCATGATTGTGTCTTTGCTGCTGTTTCTACTGACCCTGGCCTAGCTTAGCCTAGCCTAGCCTAGCCTAGCCTAGCCTAGCTGTAATGTTCAATAGAAAATGCTCCCGAGTCACTGGACTTGAAGGTTGTTTGTCTGAGTGACAGCTGAGAGCGATACAAGCCGTTGCTGTGGGAGTCCAGGGGGTCGTCTGAGACCTGCAGCGAGAGAGACAGAAAAAAAGTGTTCTTTAGTTTATCGTCAGGTGCGTGCTACCTCTATTCACACGTTCTTTTGGTTTTATGGTCCGTGTAAAACACGCCGATGACGTTCTCTACGCAGAATGCCTTTCTCATGAGGGAAACCCATCAGCAGGGGCGTGTCCAGGGAGTGGCCTGGGGTAGCACATGCCACCCTTAGAATCTGATTGGCCACCCCACTAAGTTCTAGTTTAAATTGACTTTACATTGTCGACAAAAGGCTTGGGTTGTAAACTCCAAAATAGTGTGTGGTTGGCTTCACCTTTCACCTTGTTTTCTAGCCCAGGCATGTAGTATTAATATTATTTAATATTTTTTCATATTCACATACATAGTATTTAGAGTCCCACTCAACTCCAGTTGGTGGCAGTAATGCAACAAGAAGTGACTTGCTAACCACCACAAAAGTAGAAGATGAAGAGGGGAAAAAAATGGTGATTGTGCAATGTGAAACTCAAAATTTCACTAGAAAGTTAATAAATAAACGATTTGTGTAAATAAATAAATAAGCATAACCATTGGTGCCACCCATGAATAATTAAGTGCCCCGCATGGGCCACCCCATTTTAAAAGTCCTGGACACGGCTCTGCCCATCAGATCAGGGATTTCCCACAAAGGATCCAAACCGTCATGTTCACTTCCTCTAACAAACTGATGGTTTAGAAAATAAATAAATAAACGTGACAGACGTGTCCCTGATCGTTTCTAAACAACTGCTGCATCATAATCTCACTTAGAGCGACGTCTACATAATCCATAAACATTACCAAACGTGTCCTTGAGGTTTAGGTAATCGTTATTTAGGCCATCACAAGCCTCTAAATGACTCATATATATCATCTAATACCTTTCAAATGATCCGTTAATGACTTCTAAATGTTTACCAACAGAACACTGTGCAGCCGCCGCCGTGCAGACGGAGCCGTTTCAGGGCGTCCCCTGTCGCTGTCTCCTAACCTTTGCAGGTCAGCTTCTAATCTCCCAGTCTGTCTCCACCCTCCTGCGGCGGGTCAGAGTTTGTTGTTCTGTAGTTATTTCTCAGCCTCTCCATTCTAGTCATCGTCATGTCTCGTTTTGGTTTAGCTCTTAGTTCTGTCTCTTCCAGTGTCTAGTATCTCACCTCACTCCTCAGATTATTAATCTCACCTGCCCCTTGTCTCCCCCAACCCCCGCTTCAGCATTCTTTAAACTCAGTCCAGTTCACATTTCCCTGTCGGTTGATCTCTGTCCCTGTGAAGTGCGAATCTCCCGTCTGCTCGGTCAAAAATCACATTTGTGTATTTGCCAGGTGCTTTCTTCCAAAGTGACTCGCAAACTTGGACATGACCATGCAGCTGCTACTGAGCCTAACAACAAACTACTTAAGCCCGTACCACCTGCCATCCTAGACGAATCTCCCGTCATGAGAAGAATCATGACAGAAACGATGAGCACGAGGGTGATTTGCAAGTCTGTGGCCATCCGGTGTGACCGGCTCTGCGACAGCTCACGGAGCACTCTCACGACCAAAGTCAGCCTCCAACCATCTTCAAGCGCAGTTTGAAAACCTACAACTCCCATCCTGCAATCCACCAATGAAAACACACCCAGGGATTGACGCAAACAACTAGTGACGGGAGTAGAATTAGCAACATTAGCAACATTAGCAACATTAGCGACATTAGCAACATTAGCAACATTAGCAACATTAGCAACATTAGCGACATTAGCAACATTAGCAACATTAGCAACATTAGCGACATTAGCAACATTAGCAACATTAGCAACATTAGCAACATTAGCGACAGTGGAAGCTACACGCAGGAATGTGTGGACTGCTCCTTCTTGGAGTTTGGTTCAGAGTCTAATAAAAGAAGGGGCCGTGCTTTTTTTCTTTTCAGCATGGTTGTTTTGGTTAGCTAGCAGCATTTTGTGAGGTAAGCTGTTCGGATGGGAGCTCTCGTGATGTTCGCGTGTCCTGCTGGAGCGAGACGCCCTGCAGTTTGGCTCATTCAAATCTTGGACTGTGCAGTGTACCTCCTTTCTGAAGTCCTCACGGCAGCCTCTTTTACAAAACAATGCCACCAATTTGCCGCAAAGCTGAGGTGGCATCAAGGAGCCTTCGGTCAATTAGAAGTGGTCAGACGTGGCCGTAATTTAGCGCAATTGTGTCCTTCTTACAAAACAGGATGGTGGTGAAAAGGGGTATGGGGCCGTCTCTGCGCTGACTTCACTTCAGCTTGAACATGACTTGCTTTTTATTGCGGTTTTTGACGAGCGCAAGGTGTCTGTCCTCCACAGTCTCCGTGCAGTCTCTGGTGCCCCGACCTCCAGCGCTAACAAAGAGAAGCTCCTGGAGCTCTGCATCGCTCCAGTTTACCATCTCAGCTGATTCTGTTTACAAGAGCAAAACCTCCGGCCCGTTTTTACTTTCATTTTCAACATAGTTGCCAGCTGTAACTTGGCAGTAACTCCCCACAAGATCATGGCACCTCCCTGTTGCGCCAAGGCGTAATATGCATCCACAGGTCTGGCAGTGCGACAACACCACTACCAAATGTGGAGGAATGAAAGACGTAGAATTCCTGCACTGCCGTGGCGTTTTCATGCTGATTTGCTGGCATGGCGTGTCTTCTAGAAAGGGCTAGAGTGACACGAGCAGTCCTGTGCGACAGACGAAAAACACACAGCGTGGTCTGGGTTTTAGAGGGAAGAACATCAGTGCAGAGGTGACAGTGTGGAGGTAGGTGCTATGGTAGGAGACGATCTCAAAATAATTGGGTCTTCAACTTCTTTTCGACAGTGGACAGGGACACCCTTGTTCTGGCGGCTCAGTCCGTCGTTCCACCATCATGAACAGAGTCTGGATTGTTTTGAGCATGGTGTTGGCGCTGCCAGCTGAGAGGTAGCAAGAGGATTCAGGCTCGGAAGTCGTTCCGTTCAGGGTTTTGGCTGATGTCAGTGACGGTTGTGTTTAAATATTCAGGAATAAAGAGGAGCAACTGGAACTTTCAGTTTGAGACAAAATAAAATTCCAACCCAGCTTCATTTCTATAGGACATTTAAAAACAGCATGGCAGCTGTGTGACACGGCACTAAAGCGCTAAATATTAATAATATTCATCTAAAGCAACCAAATTAAGTGAGTTGTTTTATTTTACTTTCATACTTTTTTTTACGTAATCGGTTTCACCAAAATTTGAGTTATATCAACTTATCGGGTTTTACAGTGTAGTGGTCCGAGGGTCAAAGTACAGCCAGTGGGGGGGTCACACTTTCGTAGTGGTGGGACCAAACTCTGGAATGGTCTGCCTCTAGAAATGCCCACCATCATGGACCACTCTCTCTTTAAGGCCAAGCTGAAGCATTACTTCTGCACATTGGCTTTGGTCACTTGGGCGATAACTTGTTTTGCATTTTTTTATTTTGTTTTTAATTATCTGTGTTTGCAGATCAATTGTTGTTTCTACTGTAACCAAGTGCCGTGTCCAGACTCGCTTTCGTAAATCGCTTTTATAAATAAAAGTTTGATTCATTGATAATTAAGAGAAAAGTCACTTTTGCTTTGCTTTCAGTAAACCAAGCCGAATAGCCGCCATCCACAGCTTAATATCAGCACATCACGTATAACTGTATTTGTTGAGGGGCGTTGTCGAGCCCCAGGCTCCACTGTCAGATCAGGGGGATCTTAGCTGGTTTTGGACAGCAGCAACATATATGAACCATGTTTCCCTCAGAGTCAGGTGCCTCTGGAACACATCTAGAACTTGTGTGGAACCTGTTTAGAACCCTTACTAGTCAGGTTTCTGAGTCTGGAGGTGGAGGACGGTGTGGCGTGTCCTCTGGCAGTGCAGCTGCAGCAGCAGAACGGTGGTGTAGAGCAGTGGTTCCCAACATTTTTCCCCAGGGACCCCGTTTTTTACCAGTAACATTTTGGACGACCCCCCCCCCCATTCTCTCTTCCAGTACAAACAGTATTAAGAAATGATAAAATTGTTCAAGCACATTTTAATATGCTTTGATTCAATAGATAACAGTAATAGTAGGCTCCAGTACAGAACAAAGTCATAATGTGCTTGACAGTTTATTACTTTTCTGAACACATTGTTTCTTGTAAACACTGATAAATCAATCATTCCTTTCAATAAACGTTTGACACATAAAAAATACACTGAGCAAAATGTACTTAAATGTGTATATTACTGTTTATACTAGATTATTTACTGTAAAGGCTGTGATTAATCAACCAGTCCTATCTGTAATGAACTTTTGACACTTGAAAATAAAACAGTGAGCTGAGCTAAATGTTCTTAAAAGTGTGTTACTTTTTCTGTACTAATTATTTCCTGTCTTAATATCAGTAAACTTTTCACTCATGAAAAAAATGTGAGCAAAATGTAGGCTATAAACAAGTAATAAATGAAGTGTTAACCCCTTAAAGTGGAGAGGTCCTGGCGACCCTCTGAGAGGCTTTGGCGCCCCCTTGTGGGGGTCGGGACCCCCAGGTTAGGAACCACTGGTGTAGAGGATGAGGCTGCTCTGATCAGGCTGGCATCTGGTACATAATGTACACGTGCTCTGTAGCTTCAATACAATACTTATATCTCAAGTCATTTAAGAACCCAACATTTTACCTCTTCAAACTTCTTCGCCTTGTACTGCTCGGCACCTTTCAGGAAGTTTAGCAGTATTATGTCACAAAGCACGGTGCCCTGCAGAGAAAAAAGGGTAATAATTACATACAATTCCCCTTTTTTAGATTTTATTTAGTCAAATCTCTCATAACAAAACACAAAACTTTAAAGAGCAAGTCACCCCCAAATAAACTTTTTTTTGCTGATAAACTAAATAAACGAGTGTCTAATCGTGCTGCAGACACGTGTCGTCAATAATTTGGCACTTCAGTGCATCTTAGTTCAAATTTAAATATTCTGCCTAAAACTGGCAGTGTTGTGCCGTTGTCAGGTAAAAACTCTTCACTGTATTCTAATTTAAATCTGCCACCGCTATTGGCTAAGAGGTATGCTATGATGTAAACTGGTACATTATGATGTCACAAAGCTGTCGTGAGCCTGTGTGTGTGTGTGTATTTGTTAGCAGCTTCGCCCTCGCGGTCTGCCAGGCAACAGCATGTGTTGCATTTTTCAAACATGAAGTGGGAGTGGAGTTAGACTCTGGTAGGGGGTGACTTGCTCTTTAACTGAAAAAAAAAACCAACAACAAAAACAATATTCTTAGAATAGTTGAAACCCATTTTGATTCTTTGGTTAGTTTTGTAACAAAAACACCAAAAAGGTTCATTTACAGCATTTACAGAGATTCAGGAGATTCGTGAGTTGAACTAAGTGAAGCCAGCCCCAGCAGTAACTTACCACCCCCACGGATGTGAACGCTGCCACCATGTTTATCAGCGTAGGGATCATGTTAAACTTGCCTGCCTAAAAAGGAAGACCACAGATCAACACAGACAACAGGAAGGCTGGAAGAAAGCCATCAACACTGAAAGGTTACTCACATTTCCATTGACGATGACGTCGAACCTGATGGCATAGGCTTTGATCAGAGTGCGGTAGTCCGTCCCATTTTCCATCTTATAGTATTTAGCAAACCTGTGAAAACCCAACATCACAGCAATCTTAGATAATGGTGGACAACATTCCCGTTTCACCTCAGCATGTTCACGCTGCAGCAGCTGATGTCCACATCAGGAAAAGTGGCCCAAATAATGCTTCTTCCTAGTCTGGCAAGACAATCTGTGTATGTAAATATGTAGTCTGGCCACGGCGCATAGACAGGGCTAAGTCACGGGGCGGGATCAACAGTCATCTTTCAAACTGCCTCCCCGTCCTATTGGACAACGAACAGCATGACGTACTGACAGCTATAGATGCCGGTGGACCAGGCGGTCCACTGCACTCTGTTGAAGAAGACGCAAATACATCTTTTTTCTAAATAAAGGACTTGAGTACCTCTATCTGCTCTTGACTCGAACAAAAGCCCAAGTCTAAACGGTCCAAAGGTGATGCTAAAGCTGGTCGCATCATCCCGCCCACCTAAAACAATAGACCGCTGTGATTGGCATCACATAAAACTGCTACGGCTGACGGTCGACCTGCCGAGGCTGGCTAGACCAACCTGCAGAGCAAAACCTTTTGTTTCTGCTTTCTAGGCCAACTTCTCCATCACTTGTGCAAAATTCTGATCAAGTGATGCCGCGCATCACAGTTTTCTCCTGTAAACCCAGTTTGCTGTGTGGGACATCAGAGGGTTGCTTCGAGGCTGTGAACTGGAGTCTGGTGGTTAGGGTTAGAACCAGAGTTTCTGATGTGATCAGAACTATTCAGACACTTAGACCTGAACTGATTGGATTATCCCCTCTCGCCTCGACCCACCTGGACATCTCACCGGCCTCTGTTTTGTGGATAAACATCACACCTCTGTTTCCAGACTCCTGTCTTCTTGTTGTGTCCCTGGTTCTGACCCAACCCGTCCTCTGACCCCGCTCCTGCATCCCGACTTAGATTATCAACTGTTTGGAGAGATCCCCGAGCAACCCGCTCCAACCTTGATGTCGGTGTTCTGTTCGGCTCCTCACGGCCAGTCATTACAACCGTTTTCCCGCTTTGTCGCTAGGAATGTCTACAAAGCACTGACAACACTTCTAGATCAGAAGAGCGGTTGTTACGGATGGTCCAACGTTGCGTGCACCACTGGCCCGACCTCTGCCTGAGCCTGCGGTTCTGTCCTGCTGATGCAGCATCCTGTTAGCTAGCCTAACTGCTTCGTCCAGGATGGATGTGGTGAGTCGCTATTCTGTTATCGTCACGCTGTTTAGGGAAGCATTTGGCAGCTAATTATAATTCCAGCTCTTTGCTTTAGTGGGTGATTGATCTGACGTTTGAGGGAAGAAGGCCTGGGGCTGATGTTTTGTCTGGGTTCCTCCTCAGGTTCCCGGGCCTTTGGTCCTGGCTGAGCGGGATCCACGAGGACCTGGGAGCTCTGATGATAGCTGATGATGTTGTGAATCTGGTAAAAGGTGCTCGTCGTTGCTGCAGTCAGATCTAATCTGAAAACATTAACGCTGAGTGGCTGGAGTATACACCATCACTTCAAACAATCAGCCAGAAGAAACACAAAATCACATGGATACGCTAGGAGAGGTGCCAATCGCTGCACTCTGCCATTTGTACACGACAGTGTGTGTGTCAATCTCACACCAACCATTAGAAACAAATGTCACTATTTGAACTTATCAAACTGATCCTGAGTCAAAGACTCAACTCTCCTGGAGGAACCAAACGGAAGAACTTCATCATCTGTTCTAAACAGAGCTTCACAAGGAGGACATTAAAATGTGACGACCCTCGTCCCCTCGGTCCATCCTCTCTGTCAACCTGAGCCTCTTGTCCCCACTGCCGAGGATTCAGCACCAGGGACAGCGCCTGAACCTGCTGTTTACACTCTCCAGCACCCCAGTGCCAATTCAGGACCTCGGAGAGCGGCACGCCGGAGAAGACAGCAGCTGATCTTCAGCGGCTATCAAGCGGCCGACAGGCTTAAAAGAGGAACGCAGCAGACAGTCAGGGAGATCCAGAATTAGTCTGAGATTCCCCCGAGCTTGTTGATGTCACGTTTGGAAGGATGGAGATGGTGGACCATGTGTGGTGGAGGGTTCCGGAAGCAGAAGAGCAGGCTCGGATGAAATAAAAATGAATTTAATTACAGAACGGGAATGGCAGGAACAAACACAACAATGACTTGAAACAACAATGATCTGACAAAGACTGGCACAAGAAGGGAGGTGTAAATACACAGGGAAATCAGGAACACATGGGCAGGTTAACGAGGGGCAGGTGAGAACAATAAGGGCTAATCAGGGCAGGAGAGAGACAGTCAGGAAGGCAGGGGCAGAACGTGACTGTTGACACTCTTGGTTAAAGTTAAATTTTAAGGGTGCTTGCTAAGGGTTTTTGTTGAAGGCTTGGTTATCCTCTTTTTGGTAGGATTTACCTGACAAGGTGTCAGTTTCCTTATTTTTGGTGGCTTTTATCCCCGTTGGACTTATCAGCCGGGGATATTTTCGTTTAGGTGGTTGTGATTTAAGTTAGGCAGAAGGCCTTTTTCATGAGCAGTTAGTCTGCTTATGTTTTCAGTTCCCACCTTATTCGTCACCATTATTACTAAGCCTTATTTTGCCCTTCAGACACGGACACCCTCTGTTAATAAACCCCTTTGTTTTTACTCTCACCACCTCGTTGTTTGTCCTCACACACACTCCTCCACCTATTTTCCTGTGCTAGTCCCCTCATCCTCCTAGACTTTCAGGAGGGGACGTAACATAGAATGACATTCACAGCTTTTTGTAATTGAACTTGTTTACGTGAACAAAGTGGTAGAGGCCGTGTCCCAAGCTGGGATCAAGTTATCTAAAATGTCATGCTGGAGCATGTCCATGAATACCTGAAGTTATAGCCAGGTGAGACGGTACTCTTCTGTGACATGGCATCCAGCCGGGTGAAAGAGTACGAGGGGTTACAGTAGTCATCGGACTTGTCCAAATCACACATCCAGTTGATTTTTATTCCAATCACTCCACCCTGGAACATGTATCAGATAGGCACGGTCATACCGGAGATGACAGTGCTCCGTCAAAGTTAGAAATGGCCCGAAACGTCATCAGGTTGTCACACGAGTCCTCAAAGTGGATCAAGAAAAGCAGTTATCGAAAGGAGACGACCGTATTTCACCACCGCTCATTTGTTCAGTGGTGAAAATGATCTATTATTGCATACCTGTCCGTGGCAAAAGCATGCAAATCTCTAGGGTTAGCAGGTATTTAAAGGTGAAAATGGAATCAGGTGACACCAAAAACCAGGCGCCAGTGTACATCCCTTCAATGACACGACTAGGACAATGTAAGCCTTGCTTGATCAAAGCAAAGAGAAATGTTTTATTTCTGTCTTTTAGTTAAAATAACATTAGGAGAAAGAAAAGTTGTGTTTTCTCTGTCAGAAAAAATGCATAGTTAACTACTTCCCTATTACATGACGCTCCAAACCTTCGGTTAGCGAAAACGACCAGTGACCTGCACACATTCTCACTTCCAGCGCGTCATAAACAAACGCTTGGTCAGCCACCCTCCGAATCCGACCCCTGACGCCAAAAGTGCCCTTTGTCGTTTCTTATGTGCGAAAAGGTTTTTTTTCCCTTTCCTGACTGCAGATCCCAATGCAGCGTTACACTGACGCGATGGGATGTCCGCAGTCAGGGCACCAAACAAGCTCATTGTACCTCACCCCAACCTTATCCTCTTATTTAACCTTCCCCTCACCCCTATCCTAACCTTAACCATCTTGCTAGCGAACACGTTAGTGATGTGTCGATCGCTCTAAAAGCCGGCTCTATGAAGTGAACGGCGGGAGCCGCCTCGTCATTGGTCGGGTTTGGACCGAGCCAACGCGAGGGGGAGGTTTCAACTACCAAGGTGGAGGTTAAAAGTAGAGGGTATTTGTAATTCCCCCTCACCAGATGGTATGTTCTAACGTTCCCCTTGGGCGGCAAATACGAAAACTCACATTCAGAATGCATGGGAAACAAACGCTTGATCGCAGTGAGAGTAACGTTTCAGGTAGCAAGAGGGTTAGGGTTAGGATGAGGGCGAGGGGAAGGTTATAAATAGTGAAACGTTAAGGTTTAGTGCGGTTAAACGAGCTGGTTCTGTGCCGCATCAGCGGATATCTCATCACGTCAGTGTAACGCTGCGTTGGGATCTGCAGTCAGAAAAGGGAAAAAACCCTTTTTCGCACATAAGTGACGAAAAAGGGCACTTTTGGCGTCTGGGGTCTGAGGCGGACGGTGGCTGACCAAGCGTTTGTTTTTGACGTGCTGGGAGTGAGAACGTGTTGCCTGCACACATTCTCTGCTAAATCATTTCAAATGTTTTCTCTTTACCTTGGCAGCAAGTTCAGTGAAGTTCTGCTGGGCATAGTTGAGAATATCTCCTACTTTGAAGATGGGGCAGTAGATGTCAGGACCCATGTTGAAGTTACACTTCTTAATGTACGTTTCATTCATGGAAGGAAGAAAGTTGCCTCTGCACAGAAACACACATTAGAACGAAAGATGGCGGCGTTGCCATCATTATATTTGTGTTTGTTCATTTCATGTGTCTTCAGTATTCTGGGTAATCCAGCCCTAAACACACCAGTTACAACCTCCTAAGTTGTTATCTTTGTTCTAATACATCTATTTGACGTCCAGGGCACGATGATCTCGAGAGTTAAATCTCTACAAAACAGCAGCTACACAAAAGGATGACACAAACACATGAGCCAGCGGGTCAGGTCCTGACTCAGCAGTTCTTCTTCACCTCTGGGACAAAAAGAGGAAGAAGCCATCTACGGGTACAACGGGAAAATGAGAAAAAGGTGCAAAAGTTCATTTATGTCAGTACTCCGACTTAAAAGGGGAAATTAAACTATGAGATGGACTAATTCAGATGTTTCAAGCCTTTATTTGTTATAATCAGGGATG